TTGAAGAGTCCTTTATCTAGGATCTCTTTCTTAGCCTTGGGGGGAACAGGCGGCATGCTGCGGCCGCCTGCAAGAAGGGGCGGATTCCTGTTCCACCTGTTGAAGCGCTTGTTCAGCTCTGTGTCTGAAATCTCAATGATAAGGAAGGTGCTCCGCCAGTCCTTCCATTTGTTTGCTTTACCTCTTGTCATGAGGTAGCCCCTGTGGCTCGTCAATTGATACCAGCCGGTACCGCCTGCCTTAGGGGTCCGGCTGAGGTAGTTCATGTGGGCGAAAGCCTCGAAGTTCGGCTCCACCCCGTGCAGTTCGCACCCGGCCACATAGCCGAGTACGTTGACCCAGGAGTTCGGGGCTAACTGCCATAACCCCAACTCATACCCATCCAAGATCCGCTGAACAGCCGGATGTAGTGGGAAGCGCAGCCCAGCCTTGATGGCCGCCTCGTAGCAGCCAAAGCAGGTGCCATCATAACTAGTACCAGCCGGCCAGACGACTGTGTCTTCTGGATCCGGCACGAACACTAAAAAGCCGGGGCCCATTGTGTGGTTTGCGATAAAGCTCCCCACTTTCTCTTGCATGGTCGTGATCCGGCCCCGAGGTACCGTGCAGTAGTAGGGGGTATTTTGCTCTCGGTGAGAGGCGGATGGCTCCGCCCAATTGTCCCCCTTCTCAACTGCATGAGAAAGCCTCGCCTCTTGTAGGCGACTGTTTTTCTCTTCTGTGTCCAGAGAAGCATGGCTAGAAGAGCTAGACTCGGATTCTTCCTCTAACGAGTCCGAAGAGGACGACTCCTCCCCTCTCCTAGAGGGGCCCGCCTCCTCTCCTTTAAAAGGAGCAGAAGAGAATGTAGAATTGTCAACTGTAAAATGGGAAGGGGTCACTTTGACTCCTCCCTCAGAACTGCCGGCTTTCAAGCCGCTTTGTTTCACTTCCACATCTGGCGCCGTGTCAGATGTTTCACTAATCGGCACCCGGTGGGAGGAGCCGTCTGAGTTCGAGATCCTAGCCGTCTTTTTTGTTCTGGCCCTCATGTTCTGCATAGACACAGATACAGTCGGACTTTGTATAAAGGGCAAAGATGGGTCCAGAAAAGGGCAGGCGGCACTCCTAGTCCTAGATTCAGCCGTCCCCGGTGACCGGCTGATCGCTAGCCTAGGTCGTGTCGTGTGCTTCCGTGGTGCCATTTCAAAAAAGAATAAAGTAAAGAGAAAATTAAGAGTAAGAGAACCGACGGTTACCTGAACGAGTGACGATTGATGAAGTTCTGAAAATCCTTTGCAGTCGGCTTGTCAGAGCAGGCGGTAGGCAGAAAGGGTCCAAAATGTCAGAGCAAGTTCAGGGGTCCGAATGTTCTCTCACAAAGTTCTCAAGTGTGAAAATGACCGAAGGCAACACTCCCTTATATAGGCGAAGTGAGAAGGCGAAGGGTCACTTCCGGAATTCAAAATTTGGGCGGGAGAATCTCTCGGCCTTTCGCCGAGTGACACCTGTAGCAGGCCGTCGCCTGTTACAGGGCGACACCTGTCACAGGTAACACGTGACCAGTCACGTGCCACCTGTGAGGGGCAAATGATTAGGGGATTTTGCTCCCACCAATCGGAATGCGCCACGTGGGCCAATCAGGTCCTGCCAAATGTCCCCCAGTTGGACCTCTCAGGGCTTGCCACGTGGCACACGCTTATTCGTCCACCCTGGACCTATTATGTCATGACACGTGGCATACTCCATGCCTAATGGAGAAGTCGGCCACCTAGGCCCAACTTCCGAGGGAAGCCCAATCAGCCCAAGGTTAACCTAAACCTAGGATTGGCACGTTTCCCGAGGTTATAAATACCTCCCTTAATCCTCATTAAGGGGGATTACGCAGATTACACACATTAAACACTCTCACCTAGAGAGACCCAATCACTTTAATTTCCGCATTAATTACTCCTTAATCAAGTACTAACTTGACCGTCGGAGGCGGATCTCCAATCATCCGGAGCATCCGTTTGTTTTGCAGGTACAGTCGTCCGGTTCCAGTCTCGGAATTGTAACTCTCCCGCAGGACATCAGAAAACCCCGAAACACCACCCCCCAAAAAGCCGCCGGTTCAAAACCAGTGGCATAAAGGGGTTTTGAACCGGTGGGCAATTGATTTTTTCGCCTAGTGGTTGACGCGTTTGATTTAGGCACATATATTAAGGAGAGGAAAGAGAGTGAGAGAGAATGAAAAAACAAGTGGGGTAGCTTGTAAATGCAAGGTAAAAAGTTTACCCTAAAAACTAAAAAAACTTCCTAAAAAGGAATACGTGTCAACTAAAAAGAAACGGAGGTAGTACGTATGTATTATGATATTTGTATAATTAATAATATTAAGGTAATTTGGCCCTCTTAAGAAAAATTGTCAAGATCCGCCACTGTCCGGTGGCGCGATCCTCTATCTTCGACGAACTTCGCCTTAATTACCCTCATTTCCACCCTTCCCTCTCCTCTCTTTATCTCTCTTAGTCTTAAAAAATCGAAAAAAAGTTGTTCGAAATTACCCAGAAAAAATCTAAAAAAAATCGTGTTGATAAGGAAAATTTTATTTTGTTGCGTTTGATTTGTTGCGGAATAATTAGAGGAGAGGAAAGTGGTTTATATAAAAAACCAAAAAAAATTGAAAATTTATTAAACAAAAAAAAACCCTTAATTTATTTTTGTCCTTCTCTCCAAAATTTTAAGTTTTAGGGTTTTTAGGAGTGAGAAAAAATGGCTCAACCTGAGGTTCAAGCGAATGGCGGGGCTTTGGCGGCTACTGCGCCGCCTGCAATTGATGGTGGTGCAGCGGCTCCTGCTGGTATGGCTGCTGCGGGACAGTTCGTTACGACGTCGTTGTACGTGTTGCAAGGTTGCTACAGATTCATCTAGGTAGTCAAAAGGACATGGTTTTGTGGAGTATGAGATTGAGGAGTCTTCTAAAAAAGCCGTAGAGAAGTTGAATGGCATGTTGTTGAATGACAAGAAAGTCTATGTGGGCCCGTTTCGGCGAAGGCAAGAAACAAAAATGTCGCTGACAAGACCAAGTTCACAAATGTTTTGTGAGAAATCTTGCAGAGGCAACGCCAGATGATGATATGAATAAGATTTTTAGTCAGTATGGGAAAATTACGAGTGCTATTGTGATGCGTCATGCAGATGGAAAGTCAAAATGCTTTGGGTTTGTCAACTTTGAAAATACAGATGATGTAGCCATTGCTGTGGAGATCTAAATGGGTAGACAGTTGATGGTAAGGAGTGGTATGCAGGCCCGCAGCAATTTCGTGGTATGCAGGGTAGGTGGGGCAACCGCCTTGGGCCCAATTTCGTCAAGTCCAAATAAGGGGCCTAAATTTTATAAATTAAAATAAAAACTCTCCATGTAGGGCTTGTTTGGCATCAGTTTTGGTTTTCAGTTTCCTTTTTTTTTAAAACCAAAAAGAGGAAACAAAAAAAAAAAGGTGTTTTCACTTTTCTGTTGTCAGTTTTCAAAACTATCATAATTTTAATAAGTTTATATAATTTTTGATTCATTATGGGCACATATCATATATTTTTAGAAAACAAAAAACCAAAAAACAGAAAATCACAGCAATGTCAAACGAACCCGTAACTATTAGGCAGCAGTAGTAATAAGATTTTGTGAAAAATCTTGCAGAGAAAACATCAGCTAATGATATGAATTTGTAGATGGCGAATGGCTTTTTATTAAGGAAAATTTGTCAGGAATTACACGCTTAATAGGGGTATTTGGAAACAACTACCCACTAAAAATTTTATCAAAAAAACTACCCTCTAAATTTAAAAAGTTAGAGCAGCACTACTCCTTTGCATTTTCCGGCGAAAATGTCCGGCGGCGCATGGGCCCACTTTTTCAATTTTTCTCTGAAAAAACACAATGCAATGACAAATTGGACCTTAATTTGTAACCCTAAGATAGCCAATTTGAATTAAAAGCATCAAATTCAACCAATTTCAAATTATCCCCAATTTCTAAGAACCCGAATTTTTCTAATCGTTACACCCTAACATCAAAATTCATAATTAATGGATTAAAAGAGAAGAATTACCTATGAATTGCATACCCTACTTGTTTTCACTTCTTCAATTAGGAATTTTCAGAAGAAAAATTGAAAAAGTGTGCCCCACACGCCGGACTTTATCGCCGGAAAATGCAAATGGGTAGTGCTACTTTAACTTTTTAAATTTAGGGGGTAGTTTTTTTGATAAAATTTTTTAGTGGGTAGTTTTTTCCAAATACCCCTATTAAGCATGTAGTTCCTGACAATTTTTCCTTTTATTAATATTAATGAATTAATGAATTGATTTGTTTAAAAAAAAAAAGTTTTTCTAAGCTATACCCTTAGTTCTTCGGTTTCTAAGTTGTACCCATGCATTTTCAAAGTTATAAGATGTGTCCTCCACTTCATGATATTTTATGAACAATACCCTTTGACAGCAATATCTATTAACGAAAGTTAAGTTATATTTATCAACAATGGTGTTGGACGTTATTAATTTGACATGTGTCCCGTTCTAATTGGTTTAATACTTTAAAAAAAACCAGAAAATAAAATAATAAAAATAATAATAATAATAATAATAATAATAATAATAATAATAATAATAATAATAATAATAATAATAATAATAATAATAAAAGTTATTGTTAATAAAAATTAGTGAGGTTGAGGGTACAGCTTAAACGTTTGAAAAGGCATGAACACAGTTTAGAAACCGAAGAAGTTTTGGGGCATAACTTAGAAAACCCCAAAAAAAAAAACAATTAACTTATTATTGAAATTGCTCTAATCCGTAAATGAGCATATCTATTGGTTATAAATTTCTAAGTTTGTGCTAATTTTGCTTTCTCAGGTAAATTTTGTTTTTCCATTTACTTTAATTGCTCTATCGTTCTATAAAAATTGTCCAAAAATGACTATTAGTAACCGTATTAATTAGGGAAGGAGGGAGTATTTTTATTACCGAGTATAGCAATTTTTCGGAAGTCGGTAAAGAGCCCGGAATTTGTAACAAACCCCGTACTTTGAAAACTGAAACTTCCTGTCCAAAAAAAAAACTGAAACTACTGGTATCAGAATTGGTTGGAGCTTCGAAGAGAGAGAAAAAATGGCGAGACTGATTCGAAACAAACTCGGATTAACTCAGTTTGTAACTCAGTCCAACATTCTAGGGTTCAATTTAGGGCTAAAATCATGCAATAGTAGGAGATTGTTGGAAACCCTAGCTTTTGAAGAAGTAAGATCTTCCAATTCAATTGATAAGCCGTCTGATTGTACTGCATTCATTCTTCATGGACTTTTGGGTTCCGCAAGAAATTGGCGATCATTTGCTCGCAATCTTTCTTCTTATCTCTCCACTAATTCCTCCTCTGGTAATTTCCTTCTCTTTCTCTTTGATTTGTTGCAGTTCATTTTGTGATTTAATTTTGTTCAACAGAAAAAAGTTGCAATCTTGTACCCTAGTATCTGTATTTTTCTATTTTTGTTTGGATAAATTTATGCTTGGTAATTTTTTGATGATTTGTTGAGCCATTTTAAGACAATTTTTAAGAGCTGAATTAGATGATTGTATATGTAGCTTTTTTTATTATATTTTATTTTATTATTATTATTGTAATAGACACTCAATTTTCATTAAGAGGGATGCTATAATGATAATTGTTGTATGGTGGTGAATACTGAATAGTGCATATAATAATAGACATTTTTCATAATTGAAAAGGCTGATTGATAGAATAACATTGAAGATTATTGATTAGTACTTAGGGTGCAAGTCATGGTTCAGATTTGTGAGTTATTGTCATACCCCTTCCTATGGCGTTGTTGGCTTATCGGTCACCGGCTTGCTTGGTGTTACCTGATTCGTTTATCCCTTAGCAAACTGCAATCGGGAGGGAAAAAATAACTACATTATTTGGTATGTCTTAGACTCCTAGTAGCACACTTTTTCAACCAACGAATTAGCAATACTAGGCTCGCTAGATAGGCAGTGTCTGGTTTCTGAGATGAGGATTGGTGAGACTGAGGCCTGTGTGGATTTCTGGCTTGGTTGTATTGGATCTTCTGATATTTTATTTTTCCATTAATGTAAGGCCTTAATTTTCATTTCGGAAACAAAAGATATAATATTTCTGAACTCTGGTTTTGAGTCTAGAGTTCTAGACAGTTTTTGTGTTTGGACTAATTTTTGTAAGATGTTAGGTCCATTCGTGATAAGGAAGGAATATATGTATGTAGTGAAGCAATGATATGCAACAAACCCTGTGGTCCAAAAGTCCTAATTCTCGTTCATTCTCTATACAACTTATTGCAAAGAAATGGAGAACTTTGTGATCTTAGCTTTATCATTTTGTAGAATGGAGATTGGTGCTTGTTGACTTAAGGAATCATGGGAATTCAGCTGTGGTGCAAGGTCTTCACCCACCACATGATCTGGACAATGCTGCTGCTGATTTGGCTAATCTAGTGAAATCTCAAGGTTGGGATTGGCCTGATGTTGTTATGGGGCATTCCTTGGGTGGCAAGGTTGCATTGCAGTTTGCTCAGGGTGGGTCTAGTGGAGATTATGGTGATTCCATAACATTGCCAAAACAGGTATGAAATTTTTACCGCCATGTTATTAATGAATTACTGAGAGTTGTTCTTGGATTTTTGAGTTGAAGCAATGCATATTACTCCGTAGTTTTGTAATTAATAACCTAGAATTCTCTAATTGACAATCTGTCATCCATTTGTGAGATTATCTATGCATTGTGCATTAATTTTTTTTATGCACCCCTTGTTTCTGCAATTCATCTGATTCTGAATACTTCGTAGGATTAGCTTTGAAGTTTGAACAATGATTGCTGTGATACAAAACACTGTGTCTTTTTGTTGTGTGGATATTGCTGGGTAAAAATGATGAACATCAGCTGGCGCTGGTCACTTGTCTGCTGATTGCCTGATTGTGACACACGTGATTTCAAAGAATCCTTGACTTAATAGATTTCAGTTTGCTGTGTGACATATGTGATAAATGGTACTCGTGCTATATATGTCCCTTTTTTTTGTCCCATTGCAATATTGTCACTTTTTCAGTCAACTTTTAATTACTTTGGCCACTAATCATCGCTAACCTATAAATAATAATATATTCATGTGAGATTTTGTTGGTTTTCTCTTGGTACTTTAGAATATCTCATTTTATAACTTTTTGCATAAGCAGAGTTGGACTTGGAGATATTTACATTTTCAGACGTGTCTTGAAAACCGTAAACAGTCAAATGGGGCAACAAATAGGGGTAGAGGAAGTATTTTCATAGGCCTCGATATAGTGCTCTTGAAAAAAATTTAAACTAGATTTGGTGTTATCATGTCTTTTGTCTTGTATGCTATACTGATGTAGAACTTAAATATTGGATCATTCTCTGATACAGTTACTTTCTGATTGTATTTCATTATGATGATTGGGCATCTTTTATCATCATATTAGCTGCATGTTTCTGGCTTGTTCTTTACGTTTCAACTTTATGAATGTATGTTGCTTTAGCTTCCATATTTACATGATGCAGAACAGTTATGGGTACTGGATTCGGTGCCTGGAGTTGTGAATCCTGAAGACAGTAGTGGAGAAGTAGAGAAAGTACTGGAGACCTTGCAAAGTCTTCCTTCACAAATCCCTTCTAGAAAGTGAGGACACTTGAAACTTTCTTGTCAGGATCTTTTATATTTAAACTTTTTATGAATGTGAACTAGCTCATGTCCTTGGCCAGTTAACCCTCGTAAGTCTGTTCACTTCGTTGTATAAGATAATTGTCATTATATCATCACTAGACTCATGAAAATATATCACTTGTAAAAAAACCAAATGAGCTTTCCTCTTTTAATCGTCATTAGACTTTACTTGTTCATTATGATTCCTGAACTTGTTTGGTGGTTATTGAATCTTCTGAGACCGACAAACATAGTGAAATGCTGTGCTGACAAAGTAAGAGCTGGGGGTTTGGCATTAAATCCTGGGAATTGTCCTGCTAATTTTGTTGTACCAAGTCTACTAACCAAACATCTGACTCAGCTCTTTAGCTTACAGAACAATCAAGTCATTCATACTGAGAAAGTGAGAAACCTATACTTTTTTTCTGCTCCCTATTGTCCCAATTAGAATGCAAATTATATTTTCCACAAAAGGATGCATTAAGCAATGGTTATAAGGTTTGAAGAGCATAAGGGAGGGATCATAGCACCAAATATCAGCTCAGTAAAGAGGCCTACTGGTTGGCTGAAACAAGAGATCCTGCTTATCTATTGCCGTGTCTAGAAATTGATCTACCACTTATTTATATCGCACCACTTATTCTGCTCATTGTGCTTGAAATTTTTTTTTTTTCTCTATATAACCATGATGGGATTTTGTTATGATCTTCTGCAGGTGGCTTGTGGAACACATGATAAAGCTGGGGTTTTCAAAGTCATTGTCAGAGTGGCTAGGCACTAACCTAAAGAAATCTAATGACCATGAGACATGGGCATTCAACCTCGACGGTGCATTTCAGATGTTCAACTCTTACAGGTCCGCTTGATTTTTTATTTCAGCTTTGCCCATATTGTTTGCATTTGTAGTATATGCTTAATTTCTCATCCCATTGACCTTCTACACAATTGTGGTTCTTATTTACTTTCAGGGAGAAGGACTACTGGCCTCTCCTAGGGAACCCTCCGAGAGGAATGGAAATTTCAATTGTACAAGCTGAGAACAGTGATAGATGGGATCCATATGTTATACAGAGGCTTGAATCTCTTACCAGGAAGGAAAGAGATGGATCTGAGGGGAAATTTTCTCTTCATGTTCTTCCTAAAGCTGGGCATTGGGTTCATGTAGATAATCCAAAGGGACTCTTGGATATTGTTGCTCCCAGGATTGCTTCGTTGAAATAAGACTATATGGAGGATAAAGAAAGTTCTTGGCGTCTTCTCCAACAATGTATCGGTAGATATTCTGATTTAAACTATTTCTGCCATCCAGTCTTTTCCAATTGACTGCAAAGGTGTGCATGAAACAAAATAATTACAAAACCAAATTCTTAGTTGTCCTGTGTTATGAAGTTTTTCGTTGATTTGTCAGCAATAATATTCTAATTACTTGCTGTTTAGTGGGTTCTATGCTGTGCATTGTAAAATTGACTGGTTAAGAGAAATTTGTAGCATATAAGCAAACACTTGACATTCATTTCATTAATCAATATACTTTTCTGATGATGGGAACAGAATTGATGAATGTGCATGTACTGTCAGTCATGGCTGTAGATGCTTGAGGTACATTGTTTCTGTTTACGCTTCTTAATACGGTGCAACTGTATCGATGATTGTTATTTGTTCAATTGAGGAGCCTCAGTGGGGATTAAGAATAATGTTTATGGTGAGGCTTTTTATGTTGATGATGATGGTGATGGTGATATAGATGATCTCCATGATGACTTTCATCGGGATGGGGAGTCGCTACTGCAAACTGTATTGGAAATTGAGCAGCCTCCATCGGGTCCAAGACATGATAGTGAAGTCTACTATGGTGATCTTCATAAGGACCTCGAGCTTTTACAAGTGTCTCTGATGAAATTTGAGCATTGGGGGTATGGAGATGGTTATGAGCCCTCTTATGGTGGTGGTGGTGGTGATGACGGCGATGGTGGTGGTGATGGTAAAAATTTGCCTTCGTTGGGAAATACTCCGAAGCTTTATCTTCTTCATGGTAGACATGATGATGACGACCGTGAAGGTAACGTTGCTTCTTGTTAAGACTGCGATGAAGCCATCCTGAGGCTGATTCTGGACTTGGGGTCATTTCAAGATTCGGATTCACTGAATTCAACTTCAAGGGAAAAGCTTCCTGCATATCAAGTCCAATAATGCAGTAAGGTTGAATATACAAAACTAAAAATAACTTCAAAAACTTTTGTTATACTCTCTAGTTGCTGCTAACTCATTTAACAACAACTACTGGATAATTACGAATTTTACTAAATGTATGTTACCTTTGAGTTTGAGTTGACATCCTGCTGATCAATAAGATTATCGGATAATACTTGATGAAACAATGAAAAACAAAGTAGAAACGAAAACATGCTAGTTTTCATCATCATTGTTGTAAACTCAAGTACTTCAGAACTTACAGAATTTTTTTCAGAATTACACTTAGTTATGTGTTTTTGGTGTTGATGAGTCGATTCGATTTCTGTTCAGTAGCATTTATCTACCCGAATTGAGATGCTGTAGGTATAAACTTGGTGATCTAATTGGTAAGATTTGAGACTTTTTCTCAAAAAGGATGTTAGGTTAAAATCATTGCGACTAGATGTGATCTAAGATTTAGCTTGAAAATATTGGAAAATTTTCAGGTTCATAAAATTTAGGAAGTTCTTATATGTTTGTTGGGTATCGGATAAGAGAAAAAGCGTAAATACAGATTTTTGTTGAAGGTATATTATGCATTTGAGTGTGTATTATTACATGCTATACAAAGTTTTGAAGACCTTTTGTTCTTCCATTTGTGTGTATTTCTTTTCATACTCCTGGATATATATTTCATACTCCGTACATGACATCCATATCGTGTATATACAATTTTGTTACTCACGTTGAGTAACTTGGATTTACCCATTTCTTTAGGTTGAACATCAGTCGCTAATTTATCAGAATGGGATCTTTACTAGACCCCTGTGTTGACAAAACAGTAACATCACACAAATATCACCCCAAATCACACATTATCAGGGTGACATAGTCACAATACATTATCAACAAATACCTAGAGATCTTTGTCCAAAAAAAAAAAAAAAAAAAAAAAAAAAAAAAAAAAAAAAAACCCTAAAGACTAGGGAATGGAACAATGAGATGCAAAGAGTGCACACACTGGGATATATAGGTGGATCGTCGAAACTGAGGTGTGACGTGTGTTTGTTAGTGTGTTGCCACGGTGAAAACACGCCTCCACAGTTAACATCCTTTTGTTAAAGAATGAGAAGTTTGCATCTCTGATAAATGATGTAGTATTAACAGCTGATCGCCTACACTATCATTGGAACAAGCACCAGACATTACGGGAGCTAACAAGATCGTCAGTTGTACCAGGTTGGAACAGGGCTTCAAATTGAGCTTTAAGTAGAGCATTCATAAGTTCATAACATATTTCATACACAAGATGTCATCCAAAAAACTACTAAAGAGTCAAGGAACTAGATTTTCAATATCTATGTCTGGTGTTGGACAACCAAAGATGGTCGCTGGCACCTTGTAAGGTTCTTTGGAATAGCAGAAATGTCGAGTTCCTTTATTCCACATTTCCACAGGTCAAGGAAAACCCCATACAGATATTAAGATCCGCAGGTTACAATTCGCGCATGGACCGCATACCAAGGTTGATATGCACAAAAAACACACCCATTGGGACTTACATACACAACTAACACAAGTGAAAGTCTAAATGTGCTATTATTTTCACTCGTAAGAATTTTTCACGCAGGATACAATATCAGCAAACCTCTTGAACATATGGGTAGAAATACTAGAAACAATCAAATAATGAGTAACTTACCCGGCAATAGATGAGTTACCAAAGGAAGGCGTACACATGAAAAACAACTCCGCTAATGGCTAGCCATCACTTTGACAGTTTAACCAAACACTAATAGCAACACCTTTAGTGAGAAAGGATCAAACCATCCAAACATGTGAGCAAATAATACATTGGAACAGCTCGTCCTACCTTTTTCATAAACACAACCATTAAAATCATTTCCTGATTTGATAATTACATTGGTATAACACTTTCAATTCTTAGTCCAAGACATTTTGCATCATTAGCTCCCTTTCAGATGCCTAGCAGATACCACAATATGATTTTAAGGCCTAAATAGTCTTATAATGAAGTCACTAATTATGAAGTTTAGTAAACGTGTGTAATGGCAAACTAGCTTTGGAAGTTTGAAGTTGAACAGGAAGCAGGGCTCAAGTACAAAATAAAAAGACATTAAATCAGTTAAATCAAGTCATTATGCTAAAGAACCAATGACAACAGAGTGTAGCAACACACTATCATATGATCCAATAACTATAAAGTTATGTATTCAACCACCAAAATTTCATCTCTTAAACAAAACTCCATAACAATGCTTAATGCAATCTCAAACTACAAGAAGTTCGACTTCAAAAATGAAAACCAAAGGCTTCAACAGTAACTAGACTAACAAAGCCATAGCAATAGAGACCATATGACCAGTGTGGGAACTCGATAATTCACAGCCTCCTTCCCCTTCTTCCTCCCTTTCTGCGGGTACTGTCTGTTGGGATGGGAGTCACATCCTCTGTAATGAAGATACAAGTGCATCAGTACAAGGGTCGTAAAATTATATGGAGGTTCTAAGCACACTCAAACAAAAGAGAATCACAAGCAAAAACCCATGTTTAAGGGCTAAAAGATCTCACAAAGCTACTGGAAATTCAATAATTTAGGCTGCAAGATTATAGAAAATAGAACCGTTCTTCAGGAAATTAGAGAGCAATTATGATCAGCCATTCAATAGTTCGATAAAATTTCTTTTTCCAGGTAATTGATTATATTAAAAGGCAGCACAATAAATGTGTAAGAACCATACCAATACGGCCAATTTTCATGCCTGAACGGGCAAGAGCTCTGAGTGCAGACTGAGCACCAGGTCCAGGAGTCTTGGTCTTGTTTCCTCCAGTAGCACGGAGCTTAATGTGGAGAGCAGTGATGCCAAGTTCCTGTAATTCAGAGCACAAAATCAAATTATCAACAAGCATTCAAATGGGGAGTTAATTATCCTGTCTAGTCATTAAAATTAAAATGAATAATACCTTGCATCGTTGTGAAACATCTTGGGCTGCAAGCATAGCGGCATAAGGAGAAGATTCATCTCTGTCAGCCTTGACCTTCATTCCACCTGAACAATCCAGAGCACACAATCAATTTAAAGCAAAACCAACAGACATCGTCAGAAAAGAATGGCAATTAAACGACGCAAACAAACTCAGTACTGACTTGAATAATTATACTTACAACCCATTTCATCCATGTCCAAGAGCAATCATCTTACAAGGGGTAACGGTGTAATGCTAGTCTAAGGCTTAAACTATACTTAATTAAATACAAGGAAAGTCCAAGATAAATCTAAAAAACCATGTTCTGTTATTGCAAGAAATTGAGTACAATTTGTCAATTATAATGACACAAATCATGTAACAACATCTATAATCAGATGATGTTACAAATTAAAGATTACAAGGAGATTACATTTACTCTAAACTAAGGGTGTCAGAATTTTATAACAAAACATGTAACAATAACCCCATATATCAGTACTTCTCAAATTGCCACATAAAAGATTAAACTTTGTTTTCACAATATACTCTGCACAAGTTAAAAAGGGAATCTTTAGACAGGTACATTAGTACTATCTTAAAATCAGGTTCTCGAAAATCAAAACATGATGCATTTCATACATTTAACAATTGATCATACTCCAATTAACAGGAAGAACAAAGCAACAACATTAAATTGATAAATTAGAATCATCAAGACAAACCTACAAATTAAGTACCAAACAATCATAATCCTTAAACAAAATAAAACTAAGATTGACTAACAAAACCCTGAAAAAAATCAAAGATTTAACCTGTAATACGAACAAGGGTTTCTCTGCCAGACAAATCAGTGACATGCTGCAATTCCAACAAAAAATCAAAATCAATAAATAACCCAATCCAAAAAACAATCAAATTACACCAAAATAAACAACGAAATTACAAACTTACAATGAAGGTATCATTGAAAGAGGCGAAAATGTGAGCAACACCAAAAACATGCTCTCCCTCTCTAACAGCAGGGCCAAGAGTGACGGTCTCAACCTTAGGCTCTTTAGTCTTTCTCTTCGACTAAAATCACCACCATTATCATCGCAACAACAAAAATCAAAATCAAACAATCAGATCTTCGAATTCGGAAAAACAACAAGAACATAAATTTGCAGAAATTGGAGAATAGAGGAAGAAGAAGGAGAAGCTTACCATGGTTGCAGAAGACGGAAGAGAGAGAAAGGGAGGAAATTAGGGTTTTTGCGGAAATGAGGTGAAGTTGTGAGGGAGAAGAAGACTGAAGTAGAGGAGGAGGTCGATGCCAAATCTTAAATAGCTAGGGTTTTGTGTTTATTGGGTTCATTTTTATTGCCCTCTTTTAATTTATTGGGCTTCATTTCGTTTTGGGCTTGCTTTTTTTATGGCCTGCGCATTTTGTTTCTTAGTCGTGTGGTCCGGATCGGGTAAATATAGTCTCCAAGTCGGGCAAAATTGCATATGGTAGAGCCGTAGAGGTGTCAACTTGAGTGTTCGGGTTGATTCAGTGAGGTCAGGTCGGGTCGGATCTATTTTAAACCAGGGTTACGCTGAATTATTAGGTCATGCGAGTCAAAATCTATCAATTATTTATTGACGGTTTAATCGGTTTCGAATCGAGTCGGCCAGACATATAGTTTGAATTGAGTTTGACTATTTCAATCGTGTTGGGTCGAATTTGATTTGGGACACGTCAAGTCAATTGGTTTTTAAGGCACCATTTACTCTTCTAGTGTGTGCATTGTTGAGGCAAGTTTGGGGACGGGTTGAAGGCTAGAATTGAACTTGTTTTGCTTAAAAATTGTTAGTTAAGGGCTTGTTTGGCATCAGTTTTGATTTTCAATTTCATGTTTTTTTTAAAACCAAAAACAGGAAACAAAAAAAAAGTGTTTCCACTTTTATGTTTTCAGTTTTCAAAATTTTCATAATTTTAATAAATTATCATAATTTTAATAAATTTATATAATTTTTTATTCATTATGGGACACATATCATATACTTTTAGAAAACAAAAAACCAAAAAAGATAAAACCACATCAATGTCAAACGAACCCTAAATTGTCTTGTAATTAATATTTCAAAATTATACCAAAGTTTTCTTTTATTAAGGGAAATTGGATTAAATGTCAAATGAAGTTCACATGAGTTTGGAGCACAATAGCTTATAGCTCATCACATGAGCTATATTTAGGACAATAATTTTGTATATAAGTACAATTATGTAACATACTTTATGGGCAATATTTGCCTATAAATAAGTTCACTATCTTGTGAACTAGTGGAGTAAGAAGAAAAACCGACATTCTCTAATTGCTCTTTTGCTCTCTTCCATCTCCATCATCATAAAATATACAATATCATAGTTACCTCTTAACACGTTATCAGCACCAGTTACTAGTCAGGTATATTTATACCTACTTCTCAAAATTATAACAAATAAATACTATCTACTTCTAAATGTTTTGAGGAGTATGCTCTATAGTTGCCCATATTTTGGGATCCTCTATACCAAAAACTCAAACATTTATTATATCATATATCTCAAAACAACGGTGAAAAATATCCTTACTTATGAATTTATTACTATCTTGCCTTGTTTTATTTATGTTGGTATTTTGGTTTATGTTTGATTCATACATGTTGATATTACATACTCACCTTCTATGTAAAATTTAATTTTAGTAATTATAATTAGTAGTAACTTTGCATGCATATTATTAACTAGATTAACAAAAAGATGCAGCCTTTTTATACTTATTATTTTTCTTACTTTTACATACTTTTTTGTGTTTCTTTCCGTTTTCGAACCCATGATCTTTTATAGATATTAGGGCTCTCGGACCACTATGGCTTGCATTCCCAAAAACACGTTATCATCATCATAAAATATACAATATCATAGTTACCTCTTAACACGTTATCAGCACCAGTTACTAGTCAGGTATATTTATACCTACTTCTCAAAATTATAACAAATAAATACTATCTACTTCTAAATGTTTTGAGGAGTATGCTCTATAGTTGCCCATATTTTGGGATCCTCTATACCAAAAACTCAAACATTTATTATATCATATATCTCAAAACAACGGTGAAAAATATCCTTACTTATGAATTTATTACTATCTTGCCTTGTTTTATTTATGTTGGTATTTTGGTTTATGTTTGATTCATACATGTTGATATTACATACTCACCTTCTATGTAAAATTTAATTTTAGTAATTATAATTAGTAGTAACTTTGCATGCATATTATTAACTAGATTAACAAAAAGATGCAGCCTTTTTATACTTATTATTTTTCTTACTTTTACATACTTTTTTGTGTTTCTTTCCGTTTTCGAACCCATGATCTTTTATAGATATTAGGGCTCTCGGACCACTATGGCTTGCATTCCCAGTGTGATAACCTTTTACAATTATAAATATATATATATGGACCATAATTTTATGCCAGTACGTTAGACTATTATATGATATTTTTACAGTTGTACAAAACAGTAACGGATAAACCTCCTCTATAAAAGACGGATTTTCCCCCAATTTCACCACAAATCCTTTATCTCTTCCCACTTTTTATCCAAAAATCACCTAAAATTTTTTTTTTTTCACCCCCTTCTTCTCCGATATGTTCCCCGACGACGGCAACCAAAACACCCACAACTTCACTTTTGAAGAAGATTTAAGGCAGATAAAACAATATTTCCTTCTAATTACGGCACTTGTAGTTCTATTAGTAGCAATATTAATTTTTGTCACTATGTATAAGTAAAACTCACTTATTTTGTCGTTTTAGTATATTAAAAGCTTGTTTTTGTTTTATTATGTTGTTTGTTGTTATTAATCATCATTGTATAATATTACCGTTATCATTATAATTATTGTTACTACTGTCATTGTTGTCGTTTTGTTTGCAACTAACATGATTAATTTTTGTCTAATCATATAATTACTCACAATAATAAACCAAGGGGGAGAAAAGACTATATTATTTATGGTTTATTATTATTAAATTTAATTATCACATGTCTTATTAACTTAATTATAAATATGGAAGAACTAAACATGTGAGTTGTACATATAATTTGTTATTATAATCTAATTATCACGAAATTTGTTGTAGCTAAAATGGGAGACCTTATGAAAAGACAGTTCAGCATCTTAGATTTATCTGGAAAGAAATTTCTGGAATGGAAAGTGGATGCAATGATGAATTTGAAAGCTCAAGGTTTGGAGCACACTGTTAAAGAAAATAAAAGTCTCTCTGGTCAAACAACTGATGCTACCTCTTCTACAATGACGGTTGAAAAACCTATCACTGAACAAGATAAGGCAAAAGCCTTAGTGTTGTTAAGGCATCATTTACATGAAGGCCTTAAAACTGAGTACATGATGGTTGAAGATCCCAAAGAATTATGGGACTGCCTTAATGAAAGATTTGGACACCACAAAAGGGTGCTCCTTCCTAAGGCATTATTTGACTGGACAAATTTACGGTTCTAGGATTTCAAATCTGTAATAGATTACAATTCAACCATACATGAGATAGTATCTATATTGAGATACTGTGATCATCCAATCACCGATGAACAAATGATTGAAAAAACACTCACTACCTTTCATGCAAGCAACATACTGTTGCAAGAACAATATCGTGAAAGAGGTTTTAAGAAGTTTAATGAATTAATGAGTGTATTGCTTGTTGCGGAACAAAATAGCGACCTTTTGTTGAAAAATCATAATCTCAGACCAACTGGGTCTTTGGCCACTCATCATGAGGCAAATGCAACAAGTTCTTATCCACTCGAGGCAAATGCTGCACGAAGAGGTGGACGTGGAAATTACAATGGCCGTGGAAAAGGCCGTGGAAATTATCGCGGACGAGGCTGAGGACGTGGTAGAAACAATTTTCAAAGAAACAGTAATTTCAAAAATTTTGAAAAACAGAAAGGACAGTCATCTGGAAGCCACAAACAAACTCTTTCAAAAGGAAAAGACACATGTTACAGATGTGGCATTACAGGACATTGGGGACGTACTTGTCGTACGGCCAAACATTTGGTAGACCTTTACCAGGCTTCTGTAAAAGGCAAAGAGAAAAATGCAGAAGCAAATTATGTTAATGAAGAAAATGCTCCATGTCCTACCCTTGATGTGTCCGATTTCTTCATGGACAATGCTGAAACTGGGAATGATTTCATCTTTGGAGAAAATAACAATGCTTAATTAACCCATCTACTGATGTAATATATACTACGTTTTAATGAATTTTCTGATATGTATTTTAAATGATTAGTCATGTACTCTTAATTTTTATCATAAATAAAAGTTTGTATGATATTATTCTAAACTAATCTCATATTTATTTTATGAAGATATGGATATACCCGAAGTTGGTTCCGAATATCATTGCCTTTTGGACAGTGGAACAACACACACTATCTTAAAGGATAGGAAATATTTTTCACAACTAAAGTTGTTTCAGGCAAATGTAAACACTATCTCCGGGTCAGCAAAATTAATTGAAGGATCTGGAAAGGCTTGTATAATGCTTCCAAATGGAACAAAATTAATAATCAATAATGCTTTATATTCGAGTAAATCTCGAAGAAATCTCATAAGCTTTAAAGATGTACGCCAAAATGGATATCATCTAGAAACAATGACAACAGATCAAAAAGAGTATATATGCCTCACGGTAGAAAAACATGGCAAGAAACATATATATGAGAAATTGCCAGCATACTCTTCGGGGTTATATCGTATAAACATACGACCCGTGGAAATCAATATGGTATCTAACCAGAAGTTAGATGACAAACATTTGATTATTTTATGGCATGATCGTTTGGGACATCCAGCAACTGGGATGATGCAAAGAATAATAGCACATTCAGTTGGACATTCAATAAGAAATGTCAAAATTCCCCGATCAGATGAATTAACATGCTCTGCATGTTCACTTGGCAAATTAATAATAAGGCCATATATGAACAAAATTGCTACTGAATCTCCAAAATTCTTGGAAAGAATTCAGGGAGATATTTGCGGGCCAATTAATCCGGCATGTGGACCATTTCGATATTTTATGGTTTTAATTGATACTTCCACACGATGGTCACATGTCAGTCTGCTTTCAAGTAGAAATGTTGCTTTTGCAAAATTACTTGCCCAAATTATCAAATTAAGAGCACAATTCCCAGATCATACAATAAAGAAAATAAGGCTCGATAATGCTGGGGAATTTACATCCCAAACATTTAATGATTATTGTATGTCAATTGGAATTGATGTTGAACATCCAGTAGCTCATGTCCATACACAAAATGGTCTAGCTGAATCACTAATTAAGAGATTACAATTGATTGCAAGACCATTATTAATGAGATCAAAATTGTCATCATCTGCTTGGGGACATGCTATAATACATGCAGCAACACTAATTAGATTGAGACCTACAACTTATCATAAATTCTCACCACTACAACTTGTTTGTGGTAGAGAACCAAGTATCTCACATCTAAAAATCTTTGGTTGTGCTGTATATGTTCCTATTGCTCCACCCCAACGAACAAAAATGGGTCCACAAAGAAGGCTGGGAATTTATGTCGGGTTTGAATCCCCATCTATAATTAAATATCTTGAACCATTGACTGGTGACTTATTTACGGCTAGATTTGCCGACTGTCACTTTAATGAAACAGTATTCCCAGCCTTAGGGGGAGAGAAAGTGGACCCACACAAGAAAGAAATAGAACTTATTTGGAATGCAACACAATTGTTGATGTTAGACCCACGAACAAATATGTGTGAACAAGAAGTTAAGAAAATTGTTCATTTACAAAGTGTTGCAAATCAATTGCCTGATGCATTTGTAGACACAAAGAAGGTGACAAAATCACATATACCAGCAGAAAATGCCCCTGCACGTATTGAAATCCCAATTGGTAATAAGGCCATAGAAAATGAATCTCAGGCACGCAGAAAGCGTGGAAGACCACTTGGTTCAAAAGATTCTAAGCCAAGAAAATTGAAAAGATTGGATGGAATAGAAAATGAGACTAATAATGTTCCCCCGTCAGAAGGTTAAGAAAGACCAAATGTGGATGAAAGTAAAGAAAATGATGATAATCCAAAAGGGGACGAACAAGAAGACAACCCTACGGGAAATGAACAAGACGTTCAAAACGTCGATAACAATGAAATTTCAATGAATTACGTCTCTACCAAGACTCATTGGAATAGGAAATATGTTATCGTGGATGAAATATTTGCAAATTCCATCGCAATCGACATTGTGTCTGATGAAAATGATATTGAACCAAGGACAGTGGAAGAATGCCGACACAGGAGTGATTGGCCAAAGTGGAAGGAGGCAATGCTGGCTGAGTTGAAGTCACTTGAAAAACGAGAAGTTTTCGGAAAAATAACTCTTACACCAGCAGGTGTAAAACCCGTTGGCTACAAATGGGTATTTGTAAGAAAACGTAATGAGAAAAATGAAATAGTTAGATACAAGGCAAGACTTGTAGCCCAAGGATTTTCTCAAATTCCAGGGATTGATTATGAAGAAACATATTCTTCAGTGGTTGATGCAACTACATTAAGATTTCTGGTAAGTTTGACAGTCACAAAAGGACTGCAAATGCGATTAATGGATGTAGTGACTGCGTATTTGTATGGGTCACTCGATACGGACATTTACATGAAAGTCCCCAAAGGACTAAAACTACCAGAAAACCACAAGCCTAGACAACTGCTTTCCATAAAACTAAAAAGTTCACTTTATGGATTGAAACAATCTGGAAGGATGTGGTACAACCGTCTGAGTGAATACCTTATGAGAGAAGGATTCAAAAACAACCAAGTTAGTCCCTGTGTTTTCATAAAGCGATCACAATCAGGATTCGCTATCATTGCAGTTTATGTTGATGATTTAAATATCATCGGAACCCCAAATGAACTTGAGAAAACTGCAAAATACTTGATGAAAGAATTTGAGATGAAAGACCTTGGGAAAACTAAATTTTGCCTTGGACTACAAATTGAGCACTTGAGTCATGGCATTTTTGTCCATCAATCAAACTATACAGAAAGAGTTTTGAAACGTTTCTTCATGGACAAAGCAACCCCAACCAACTTCCCAATGGTTGTTCGTTCTTTGAATATGAAAAATGATCCATTCAGACGTCGAGAAGAAAATGAAGAGATTCTGGGTCCAGAAGTACCATACTTAAGTGCAATTGGAGCCTTAATGTACTTAGCTAACAATACTAGACCCGACATAGCTTTCTCTGTGAATTTGTTAGCCAGGCACAACAATGCACCAACATATAGGCATTGGAAGGGAGTTCGACACTTACTCCGGTACCTACGAGGGACACGAGACCTTGGTTTATATTACCAACCAAAACAAGATGCTGCTCTCATTGGGTATGCAGACGCTGGATACTTATCAGATCCTCAAAATGCCAAGTCACAAAATGGATATGTATTCACTTATGGCGGCACTGCAATATCATGGAAATCAACAAAGCAGACATTGACCGCGACATCATCAAACCATGCAGAGTTGATAGCCCTCTATGAAGCAGGACGGGAATGTGTGTGGCTGAGGTCGATGATCAGTAATATCCAAAAGGAGTGTGGAATGAACGCAATAACAGAAGACCCAACCATCATCTTTGAAGACAATACAGCATGTATCGCTCAAGTAACTGAAGGATATATTAAGGGAGATAAAACGAAACATATTGCCCCAAAACTGTTCTTCACACATGATCTGCAAAAGGACGAGGAAATAAATATCCAGCAAATTCAGTCTTGTGAAAATCTTGTCGACCTTTTCACCAAATCACTTCCTTCCAAGAAATTTGAGCAATTGGTTCACAAAATTGGAATGCGACATCTTCGTGATCTATGCTGAAATCAGGAGGAGTATTATATGCACTGCACTCTTTTTCCCTTCGATCAGGTTTTTATCCCACTGGGTTTTTCCTGACAAGGTTTTTAACGAGGCAGTATATCAAAGCATATAATATTTTTCTTTGAAGCAACCCATACTCCATTTCATGCGAACTTCAAGGAGGAGTGTTAAGAAAATGTCAAATGAAGTTCACATGAGTTTGGAGCACAATAGCTTATAGCTCATCACATGAGCTATATTTAGGACAATAATTTGTATATAAGTACAATTATGTAACATACTTTATGGGCAATATTTGCCTATAAATAAGTTCACTATCTTGTGAACTAGTGGAGTAAGAAGAAAAACCGACATTCTCTAATTGCTCTTTTGCTCTCTTCCATCTCCATCATCATAAAATATACAATATCATAGTTACCTCTTAACAGTTTTTAGTTTTTAGTTTTGTTGGAATGGGTTGTCAATTGTTATTATTATGTCATTGTTATTGAGGTTCATGGAGGTTAATTAATCAAGAAACTCATGTTAGTTGATGACTTTTGAAAATCAATAATGAAGGTTGAGAACTTGAGATTATTCTACTATCCTTATTTACCTTAGTTACAATATAAAGGTTTTGTAAAAGTTATAAGTAGTGAATTTATTTTAGACTGTCCAATTTTTGTAACTGTATCAATAATTACATAAGATTCATTTGTGGTAATCCTTGTTTAAAAGGAGTTGCATGGTGTAAACACTAAGTTATAAACATGGCGAGTAATTTAACAAAGTTTTCCTTGGTAAACATGGGTTTTTGCTTGTGATTCTCTTTTGAAAATTTGTCTTTATTAACTGGATTGTTATGAGTGTTGAATGAAAATATGTTTCTAATTTACCATTGAGTTTATGTTTGTGTCTTTGAATGAACTTTATTAAATTGAATTATTTTAAAAAATGAAATTTTATTTACTTTTCAAAGTGAAAATGATTTTGTTCCAGTTATGTGTAAATGTGTAATGAGTAGGTATACAAAAAATATGAATAAAAAGTTTGATTAATTTACTTGTGAACTATTAGAAATGTTCATTTTGATAAGTAACAATTTTTTGAGATATTACGATCTAAGTTTTGTAATTTGCCACATTTACAAACAACGTTATAAGCAAAAAATAAAAAGTGGGTTGACGGACCTCTAATTCAAAGTCAAAAGGAAGTTATTACAAATCCATCTCTAGTCGTGCTCTCTCCCTCGATTACCATTAATTGTGTATTTAACTCATGAAAAAAGAAAAAGTGATATTTTGCAAACTATTAGGGGTCGTTTAGTTGAAAATATTCGGCAAATGGTAAGGGAATCAAATGTCATTATTCCCTTTAGTGTTGTTTGTTAGCCCTTTGTTCACATTTCCTTTACCCTCCTCATTAACCCAAAGTGTTCCAAGTTGATTTCTTAATTCTTACCCTTCTAGGGATTCTAATTCCTTTTCCTTATTAGCAAACACTGCACCGCCATACCACCACCAGTTCACCAACCTTTTGCCGTACCCCCACCACCAAATAACCCAGCCACCCCACTGACTCCTCTCCCCCCCAACCCCGTCGCCCCTCCCCTCCCTCTCAAACCACATCCCCCCCCCAAAAAAAAAAAATCCCTATAAATCCCCCTTTACCCCTAAACCCCCAACCGCTCATCCCTACTTCGAATCCTTATCGGTTAATTGTTGATTCATTGTGTTTAATAATTTAAGTACATTTTACCCGTGAAAATTCCTATAAAATTATCAAATGAGTGTTCAAACTAGTGTAAGATATGATTTTTTATTAGGAAAATTTGCAAATTGCAGCCATTTAAAGTTCGTATTTTGCAAATTGCAGCCATTTAATTTTTTTTTTGCAAATTGCAGCCCAAAAGTTTGTATAAATTGTAAATTGCAGCCCGATTCAATTTTTTCATCGGTTTACATGTTGAAAAATCTTCGGTAAAGGTTTTAGGGGTCATTTTAGCCCTTTAGGGCCCGAATTGAGCTCAAAATTAGCAAAAAAAATAACGTAAGTGTCTCATATTTACAGTTTCCCACAATTTGATACACTTTTATTACGCAGAACGAGATACTTGCGTTATTTTTTTTGCTAATTCCAAGTTTAATTTGGTTCCTTAATGGTTAAATGGCCCCTAAAACCTTAATCGAAGATTTTTCAACTTGTAAACCGATGAAAAAGTTGAATCGAGCTGCAATTTACAATTTATATGAACTTTTGGGCTGCAGTTTGCAAAAAAAAATTTAAATGGCTGCAATTTGCAAAACACGAACTTTAAATGGCTGCAATTTGCAAATTTTCCTTTTTATTATCTGAGCAAAAATTTGTTTGAAAATCAAAGACAATTTAAACAATATTTTTAGCCACTCAGAGTATCATTATTGGTAAATTAATTTCCACATTAGCATGTCATATTTCATAGTCTGTGTCCCAATAGTTAACTATTAACTCGTTATAAGAAGACCTTCACTTTCTCAATTAACTTTTTAAATTTTATTTTATTAATATATCAATCATCCATATGAATAGTAAATAAATTATGGTTAAATCAATAACTATTGAAATTGCTCTTTAAAGTAAATCCGGTGTGATACTTTGTACTCAATATCATGACCTTTGTTACATGAATCTGTCATAGTGGGGTTATAATTTATTAATGGTTTTGTATATATAATAATATATATGAAGGCGCAATTTGGATCAAACCTATATTTTGCCTATGGAGATTTGTTGAGTGGCAATTATTTGAATTAAGCTTCATTTCAAGAATTTATTGTTTGTGATATCTTAGGTTAATCTAAGAGTTCTGAAATATGTAGTTTTTTAATGAACTATATTATGAGATAAGTGTAGTTATTTAGTGTTAAGAGTTCTTAGTTAACATGTTTAAATCGGGCTATTGTGATGTTCTCTAAACACATCAAGAAGTAATTGTGAGTCACTAGCTCACTGCAAAAACAATATGAATATTCAATGGGTAAAGTATTATTGAGATACATACATAGAATTCCTTAAGGAGGCGTTTGGTTCGCAAAGCGGTACAGGTTTTGGAATTAGGATTATGGTTAAGGTAGTATCGGGTTGGAACTTGATACTTAATACCATGTGTTTGGTTCAATTATGGAATGAAATATCACGTATTTGATACCTAAGGAAATGGAATGAGCCAAACCCACATCCCCCAAGGTTTCTAAACCTTATACCTCATGGGTTTGAGGTATGAGTTTAAAAATCATATTTTTGACAACCAAACATATGGTATGGGTTTTGGTCATTCTAAACCCATACCCTATACATATAATCCACTAACCAAACGCCTCATAAGTCATTAGATCATCTTCAATAGTGAGACTCAAGTGAGTATTTTTAGGAGAGAAAGAGTATTTTTTACAATGTATATACCAGTAAGTTGGTATCTAAACTTAGTAGCTCCAAAAGATAGTTGCTAAGTTTAGATACTCAACTTTGAGTCTCATTTGACAAAAAGTATAGGTCACTTGTCAATATTTTAATATATTTTGTAATTTATTTAAGTTTTACGTTTTTTTAATTATTATTTAAGGTTACAATATTTGATATTAAAAAAGAAATGGATTTGGTGGACCATAAATTGAAAGTTTTATATATTTTAGAGAGTCTTACCATTGAGATTTTAGACTTCACATGAATTGCTAAATTCAGAAGTGAGTATAGTATTACCATTGGAGGTAAATAACAACTCATTTTGTATTTTAATACTCAAACTTGAATCTCACAATTGGAAATCTTTAGTAATAAAAGAAAAAAACTTCGTGATAAATGTAACCCATCTTTATTCAACTTATTTAAGTATGAGTACCTTAATTTTTCTTTCAAAATATAAAAGTTATGTTCAAAACAAGCTGTATCATGTTACATGTGATTTTCAATCTTTTATGTCTTTCACAAATTCTTATATGTGGCTGTGAAATGTGGACTGTAGTGAGCCATTAGAGTTATTTCGTTAATGTTACGCGGGTTACTCGATAAATGTTATAAAAATTAATTCCTCAATATTATAGGAAAATGTATTATGAGTAAATTCATTAGTAATACGAATACAGAATTATTTCGTTTATATATTTTTTTCATTAGGAAAATAGAAATAAAAATTTGATCAACTAACATAGTTTACATAGTTTTAATTTACGGAGTATCGTTGTTTTACCGTCCCTTTCCCTTGATACGAGTAGTAAAGTAATTAATTCCAAAACCCTAATTGACGCCGAACTATAAATAGAAGCCATGAAACCTCAAATTGGCATGCCGTCGTCTGAAACAAAGCTTGAAAGATGCAGATCTTCGTGAAAACCCTAACTGGTAAGACCATCACCCTTGAGGTCGAAAGCAGTGATACCATCGACAATGTCAAGGCCAAGATCCAAGACAAAGAAGGTCCCTTTTCATTTCCCTTCATTTTAATTTTCTTCAATTTCATACATTTTGAATTTAAGATGATTTTATGTATTTTTCCCTTCATTTTAATTTTCTTCAATTTCATACATTTTGAATTTAAGATGATTTTATGTATTTTTCAATTTTAATTTTTGTTGGGGTTTTCGAAATTTGCAGGAATTCCTCCAGACCAGCAGCGTTTGATCTTCGCTGGTAAGCAGCTTGAAGATGGCCGCACTCTTGCTGACTACAACATCCAGAAAGGTACAATTTTTTATGGTTTTCTGATTTATTTAGTTGATTTATTTTGTGGGTTTGCTTAATTTGTTGATTAATTGTCTGGGTTTGTTAAATTTGTTGATTAAATTTCTGGGTTTATTTTATTTGTTGATATATTTTCTGGGTTTGTTAACAGAGTCAACACTTCACTTGGTTTTGAGGTTGAGGGGAGGAATTATTGAGCCTTCATTGATGGCTTTGGCCCGTAAATTCAACCAGGACAAGATGATTTGCCGCAAGTATGTTTTCTCTCCTTCATATTTGCTGTTTTTCCTTGTAGTTAAGGATGTGATTATTGTGGATTTGTGGTAATGCTGGACTAAGTGAGATTAATTTGCATTGTATTGGGACATTAACTTAACCTTATCGGCAATTACACCGTGCTAATGAGGATATACAAGGTCCCCAAATTAATATTCCATTCTTCAACTTTATCAGCTGACTTTACTTTTTATTTGCCAGTTGATTTTCATGGTTGGTACATTTGTTGTATTATTGTTGGTTTCATTGTTAATTGAAGTGCTGTTTGAGTATTTGAGCATTGGTTCTGTGTGCTTGGTTGTGGGTTCTGCCTGTGCTTTTGTATTCGGCCTGTTTGCAATGTGAAAAAGGATTGACCTTTGAGTTAACTTTGCGATAATTGTGGGAAAACTAGTTTAATGGGGTTTATGATGTTTCATTGAATGGTTGTTGTATCTTGTATCATATGCTCTTTTGAGTACGCAGAGTGTGGAAAGTATGTGTTAATGTGTGTGTGAGGGGGAAGTATCTGCTGGTGTTTTTTACTACCTTTTGTTATGAAGGTGAAGTTTTTTTTTCTTTGAGCTTTTGTTAGTTGCTTGATTTGGTCTTGTTGCCTTTGGTGTTATGCCCCATTTGTGCAGTAGGACTAGGTGATTGGGTTAATACAAATTTATGGTTATCTTTCTTTGGAGTTTAGAGTAGGTAGAATGTATAGCAGTTGCAATGTTGAGTATGACTAGAATGTTTATACATTTTTTGCACTATGCTTAATGAAAACGCCTCAACATTGAGTGTGCAAAGGGAGAAAAGTGAATGGGGTGGGCGGGCATGTAACTCATTGATAGGTATGTAAATGTTACGAGTAGAAGGATTTTGTTGGATCCTGAACTTTGAAGTTTATGAGATGGGGATTGGGATGTATCAGGCTGATTTTCATGAGTCTGAAGAACGATAACAAATTGGGCTGTTTCATCACTCAAAGCCTTACAGACTTACAGTGTATCTCTTCTTCTGTGTTTCCTTCGGATCAACTTTTGTTTCGAATTATTCCCTTGATATAGATATCTTTTTTGGTCAAGTGAAGAGGGTTTATGAGACAAACTTTGGCCAGTGATGTAAGGAATATATTTGCTACTCTTGATTGGATTCATCATGAATCCATGTGATGATCATTTTCCACCAAGATCTCTGAGGCCACTTCCTGATTTTTTGTTGCTACCCTTTTTATTTATATTTTGAGTCCAGTATCTGATGCATCATTCCATGTCTTGTAACAAGAGGTTCATCCCCTATGTACTGGATTATTTCTGAATTATTACTTCATTTTTGTGCTTTTATGTATATGGATTTGGTATAACCAATTTTTCTCCATCTCCAATTCTATATTCTGGTCTCATAGCCTGCTTGATTATAGACTCCTTTGTTTGACACTTTTTCAACTTCTTGTAGGTGCTATGCGCGTCTCCATCCCAGGGCTGTGAATTGCCGAAAGAAGAAGTGTGGGCACAGTAACCAGGTCTGTACCATTTTTTTGTTGTGCTGTGCTACATTCTTAACTCATATAATAATAACATTAAAATTCTTTTATAAAAATAATAATGAAAAGCTTGTACAATTAAAAATGTAAACTAAAGGTTGCCTGTGTTGATGTACGAGCTCATTGTCCAATATATACTGAAAGCTTTGATATGCATCAGTTGCTTATTGTGCTTTTTATAATGTCCTACAGCTGAGGCCAAAGAAGAAGATCAAGTAAGCTATTGCAGATTGCTGTATCATCATTCAAGTTGGCTGTCATGAGAGTTTCAAAGTTTTGGCCGGGTGTACTCTAACCAAGGTTGCCCGTCTGTCTGTATTGTGTTTGTACCTTAAGTTAATGTTGTCTGTATTTTGTTCTTTGCAAACAATTACTCATGTTGGCCGTAGGATGATGCAGTTTTTGTTTGTGTGCGTGTTTTAGAATGGTTGAATCTGTTGTATTGATAGAACAGTCCTGATATATTGAGTAACATTTTGATCTATGATTTTGGAATTTTCTAGCAATTTTGATTTTTGAATTCGTTCCATCTCTCAATTTTATGTGAAATCTGGCTTATTACATATATTGCACTGAACTTGAAGTAATCATGTTACGAGAAGGCCTAATAACACAAAATTTTCTATTGTTTGGTGTTGCCTATTGAGGTGAATGATTTAGATAGTGTGCAAATTACCAAATCCTGAAACTTAATCGCTCGGGTTAGGTCTAGGTCTCTCCTACAAGAGAAGCAAAGAGAGAATCTGCTCCTAATTGTCTCTGTCTAGTTAGATTGTAATTGTAAACTAAGTACATGATGTCTCAAAGTTGTGATTTGATTAATGTAAACATGCCAATTCAAGTAGTTGCTTAGAGTGCTAACTGCTAAGGGCTTATTAGACAAACACTGCTTTCGAAAGCGCTCAGTTCTCTGGTTAAGTGGTAAGAAGTTGTATAAATCTAAGACAATGTGTGCAAATAAATCTTTAGATATGCTTGGCACGAATCCGACAACTCTCGAGCAAGGTGTGGGTAAATTATACAAATATCAAATTATACTTGGGGAAAAAAGAAGAAGCTTGAATTAAAATGTGAAAATAAACAATTTCGTTAAAATTGATTATGGATTTTGTTATTGGCTTCCTAGCACTTGAATTAGAATATCCATTGAGACAAGATATTGAGGTCTGCTACTAAAATTTAAGGCAATTGTTTAGGCAACATTTGAGATATCTATTACGGAGTACAAGCTTAAGAGAATTTTACGTCCTAGCCTTAAATGTAAAGGGCAATGAGCCAAATATATCATACAACTCCAATTTCAAAACTCGAAAGAGAAGGATATCAAAAGATCATAGGAACCGTTACCGCCACTTCTCATCCCATATTCTTCTTACATCTGCTGTTTGATGAACTCAACAAATAGACCAAAATCAGATCGTTAGACATTTTGTCCGAGCAGATTTACATTTTATACGACGAATAGATTGGAATTTTAACTTCTAAATCCAAATCTTTCCCGAAAAGCTTTTCTCACCAACTTCTTGTAAACATGGACCTGACAAGTCTTGAAAGCTATATCAAACATGAGTAGTTTCTCCTTCATCTCATCTTTGAGAGGACAAGGATCAGTTGTGATCATCATAACCCGTAACACTTGACCCGTGAAAAGAACCTTTTCATATCATGTACTTCCATTGTTCACATCCATCTCCAATCGATTACCTTGAGACATGGAAAACAGGCCAACGAGTCAGGAATATTAACCTTGAAGAACAACTTCTGCTTGAGAAATACAAAAGTGTTGCAGGTAATGTTGCAAGTAGGGTAGGAAGATAACCGATTTTTCTGTAATCGATACCTTTAGCAGCCATAGTCAAGAAAAATACTTCAGGTTTCCGATTCACAGCAGAAGAAATTAACTCATTAACAACAGACAAAGTCTTTAAATCCTTTGCTTACTCGATAATCCAAACAAACTATCTTAACCATCTTGCAATGTTGTAATACATGACTAACAAACATCTCAAATTTCTTCCGCGTTTCATTTGTACCCTTAGCTAAGTCAAGAACAGTCAACAAGGTCCAAAGATACCTCCATCTCGACGACAAAATGCAAGTTCTAACAGCATCTCTAACTGGAATCCGAAAAAGTATTTTGTGCACCAACACATGATCTGGCAAGCTGCTAATCCTATCCTCTCCTCTGTCCTCACCCTGCCCAGATACCGGCCATTTAAGTTCATTTTGAACAAACCTATGTCTTCATGAACGCGTCAATGGAATTAGAAAATTGTTGAATGAACTTGTAAACAGAAAATTCCTCAACCAACAATGAAAATATACAAGTATATATTTATTATATAATGCATCATAATACAACTCGATCATACTGTTTTGAGTGACGGATCTTGAAACTTTTTCAATTGGGGGCCAAAATTTTATAATATTAATGTAACTATGTAAATCTATAACAAGAATCAAACAAAATGACAAATTACACTAATTGACATGGAACATGACTCAACTTAAACTATTGACACAAATTTGTCACGTTTGTAAATTAATTTGAGAATGGACACCAAAGACACCCAGTAGCGTGCATGAATTTAATAAAAAAGAAGTTAATTTAACAACGTCAATAGAATGAATTTTAATAACGATCAAGTTCATGTGGTTAATTGTCTTTAGTATATTATGATATCAATGAGTGTTTTTAATTACATACTAATTAAATTTATGTCAATTTGTTTATGATGAAATTTCATGCAAATGGTTATAGTTTGATCTCAGTTCATGTTAATGAATGTAATTAACATTTTTCATGTCTAAGATATAATGAGAAATATAAAGCTTGGTTCGTGGAGGCGAATGCTCGATTCGCATGGTGCATCCGCTCTAAAGTACAAAAAGGCGGAATGAACATGCAAGTATATACTAATGTACATGGGCATATAAAAGAACATAGTGTTCATTTATAATGTACATGGACATATACATAAAAGAACATAGTGTTCATTTATAATGTATATCAGATTTTTGTGCAACAATTTTGTATATTATTTTTGTATAATAATATAATTATTTTTTTGTATAATGAAATAGATAAATAGTACTATAATTATTTTTTTTTACCATACATTAATTACAAATCATTTCAATCTTTTTTTTACCAAAAGTTCACTCTCTCTCTCCAAACAAAAATTCAAACCTTTTGTCAAAAAAAAAAAAAAAAAATTTTCAAACCCAATTAAATTCCTCAAACCTCAAGCAAAATTTCAAGAAATTCGAAATTTTGAGTCCAAAATTGTTCAAGATGACAAATAAAAACAAAAGGTAAGACCAAATTCAACATTCATACTTGTTTATTTTGAATTTGAGTGTTTGTTTTTTTATAAATTTGATTAAAAATTGTAATATTTGATTTTATTAGGAATTAATTGCGATTTTGATGTTATTTTGTTATTGCAATGAGAAATAAAATGAAGTTCTTGAAGAAGATCGTCCGATTAATCCATTTTTGAAGAAGAAAGCAAGCAAATAGACAATTTTAGAAAAAGTTGTAGATTCAAATAATACAATGTACATTAAAATACAATAAAATGTTCTTTTTTCATATACTTACATGATGCAAATAATACAATGTACATTAAACATGTAACCAACATTATACCATATATGTTCATTAGAATATAATACAATGTACATTATAATACAATAAAATGTACTTTTTTATATGCATACATGGTTATTTATACCAAATGTACATTTACTATATGAATAATGTTCTTTACTAATATTACAAATGTTCTTTAGATTTACAAAAAAAAAATTATAAAACTAGATGTTCTTTTAAAATAGCTATATATTCTTTATAAAACATATATATGTTCTATACTGAACAACTAAATGTACATTTACCATGCTTGGTGCATCCGCCTCCACATAAAAAATTTCATGAGAAATACGATGTCACAGCTCATTAAATTATCTCGCCAAAATAAAGTAAGACTTGTAGCTCTTTTAATAATTATAATTATAAGGCAAAAGCTAATGAGCGTCCCCGGGGCGTTAGATAAGAGAATTAAAGTGCAAATATTAGAGTAACATTAACATTAATTACACCGATTGACGCGTGATTTTATCATGAATTCCTAACTTAATACCATTTCAACCAATATAATTTATCCTAATTATAAATCGATCACTTAAAACCCTTAAGCAAATTATATTTTAAAAATACATATTCATATTGATTTATAAGATATCAAATGATTTTTTTATTTCCTTATTAGAGCTTAAAAGTACTGTCACATGCAGATCATACTTTTTTTGTAGAAAGCCCTAGGCGGTCGCACTCGAGGTCTACCCCTTCGGACCGGCCCTGATTAAATGTAAAAAGTTGTGAGTACGAAATGAAGGGTTTTACTTAATAAACACTGATAAAACATAAAACTACTACAGGGTCGTATGAAAATTGCAAGAAATATAATTGCACCAAGTGTCACGTGACCAAGTCAACACCAGAGAATTTTGGTCAAATTCATTCATAATCCGGCATAAAGGTAGTAAATTACAACATTTTTAAAAAATTAGATAGTCAATTACAACATTTTTTTTAATAGGTAGTTTCTCGCAAATTCTGGATTATAATAGGTAGTTTTTCACAAAATTTCCTAAAATCAAAACAAAACCTAAATTTGCGCAAATTGAACGAAAGTTAGGGTTGTAAAAGTGCACAAAATTTAGAAAGAGTAACCACTTACAGACTTACAGTTGCTGAAGAAGAAAAATACATCCTAATTATCATGATCAGTTTTATCATTCATGGTGTCACTTTGTTGAACAAGTGACCCTTTTCCTATTTTCTACTCCAAATCAATCTCAGACATTCGTGAGCATAAGATCCAACGATCCTCGAGCAAGGTTTAAGCTAAATTATACTGTGAGATTAAGAAGTTAACAACATATGCAAGAATTCAGAAGAAATATTACGGGAGGCAACAAAAGTTTAGGCAGTTTTTGAGGCAACTCTTAGAATTATATGTCTATTACAACCTTAAAGAGTTTTAAGACTATAAGTCCTAGTCTTATAATTAAAGGGCATCGAGCCATATTATATCATACAAGTACAACTCAAATTCGAAAAAGAAGGATATGCAAAAGGAGATCATAGGAACCATTACCGCGTATTAATTTTCTGCTGTTTGATGAAATCCACAAACCACAGCAAAATCGGATCATCATATATTGTCCTAAGGAGAATTCTATTAGATAGAACGAATATGCTGGAAGTCTCCATCAAATAATACTTCTAGCAAATCCAAATCTTTCTCTGAAAGCTTCCTCTTTACCTTCTCGTAAACATGGACCTCACAAGTTTCGGAAGCTGTATCAAACATCAGTATTTCCTCCTCCATCTCATCGTCTAGAGGATAAGGATCGGTTGTGATCACCATAGCCTGTAGCACTTGACCATTGCTCAGCAGATACTCTGCAAGTTGGAGCTCATCTTCGCGTCCCTCAAAAGATGAGAACTGAACATACTTCAGAATCTTTTTCAGACAATCAGGAACATTTTTCGGTGGATTCCACATGAATTGGTCATCATAGTCATCCCAAGGGTAGTCTTCTCCATTGAGTAATTCCTGTTAGATTATAAAAACTCAGCAGCTGTATGACTGTATTCACCACTTTACAGACTATGTCGAAAGGCTCACCTTGTTCAACCGTAGAGACACTAGTTTAGGCACGTTTTTGAAAAAATATGGCAACAATGTCCAGTCAAGGGACTCACTTGCCCCCAGCTCCAACGCCGTCAAATGGGAAAATTGCGGCCAAGGACGACTGACAGATGATTTCAGATTCTACAGACAGACAGACAGACAATTTTACTAAATTAAAAATTTAGGTTCATACCAAGTACATGTCATGCTTTTTGGACTGCAGAAGTTACCAGTAAAGAATCAGAAGATATTGATAATTCCTTAGTCTTAGCAATGCCAAAAAGAAGTCCAAGTAGTCGACGAATATGATCATCTTCTGGAGCATCTGTCCAAGAGGCTTCATAATCAACGTCAACAAAATCTAAAGAACCCACATTCTTCAGTACATACTCTGCACATGTTCCATCTGCTATATCGAAATCTTCCAGCTTCGGGGCATCAACTGTGACAGTGTGTGGATGAACCCCGTATACATCAGTTTTCAGATTTAACCTCAACCGCTTCAGAGTAGGAACACGTAAATTAAACTCAAATTCAGTTTCTGATTCAAGATATCCCTCAAGGTGTAAATCCTCCAACACAGGACTGTTAGACAGCAGTCTGTCTAATGCAGAGCAATGGTTTTCGTAAGGAAACCAGCCCGTAAACTGCAGGATTTTCAGACACGGAAAAGAGGCCAATGATGCAGGTATCTCAATCTCAAAGCATGACTTCAACTTGAGTATTACAATCGTGTTATAGGTTATGTTGCAAGTAGGGTATGAAGAAAGTATCACCAAACAAATCCAAGATAAGCTGTTTAGGCTTTCGACTCACTGCAGAAGAAATCCAATCATCTATAAGGCACAAGTCTCTTGATTCCCGACAAGCCAAACGGAATTTTTCCAAGTTAATCGACTTGCAATGTTGTAAGACATGACTAACAAACCCATCAAATTTCTCTGGCTTTTCATCTTTAAAATCAACCAATTCAAGAGTTGTCACCAAAGTCCAAAGATACTTCCATTTCGACGACAAAATGCAAGTTCTAACAGCTTCTTTAGTTGGAATCAAAGAAAGAATTTTGCCCAACACATGATCTGGCAAACTGCTGATCCTATCCTCCCCTATGTTCTCATGCTTGGCCGAACACCGGCTTTTTTCTTCATTTTAAACAAGCCTTTTCTCTTCATGTTGAGCAAATTATGTCCTCTTCACAAAGATGACAAAGACATTAGAAATTTGTTAGATTAAATCATGCAAATTTTTAAGCAAACCCAACAATAGCAAAAGTACATAGTGCATTATTATTGACTTATTGTAGATTTTGTGTAAGGTCTAGCAAAATATATATACACCCGAGAGCATGATGTATACTTAGATTCCAATTTTTGAGCACATAACCATACATTTAAATGTTTTTAATTAGAAATTACTACATACATGTAAAATTGAGAGAAAGTAGGAAGAGATAAATATCATTAACCACTAAAACAGTTATTAAGTATGCTAATTGTACATTTAAACAAATTTGTTATTAGAAAATCGTTTGATGAAATCATGGAATTGTTAACTATAAAATCCCCAAACCAGTAATACAAGTGCATAATACATGATAATGTAGTTTTGTTGTAAGGCCCAACAACTAAATATATACACCCGAGAGCATGATCACACTCAGTATTCCACTCACTGAGCATACATTTATATAATTTTGAAAATACTTATTAAATCGAGAGAGATTATAAAATGATAGATTTCATTAAACACTATCACAAATAAAGTATGCTAATCGCGCATAAATTAAAATATAATAGTTGATTTCTTAAGCATAACAAATAGCAAAAAAGATAATTGGACACAAAAAAAAGACACATTAATACTAAACAAATTAAAAGCCAATCTTGTTAAAATTGAACAAAAGTTAGTTAGAGTTTTGAGAAGACATACCACGTTAGTTGGATTTGAACTTTTAATTAGGTGAGTTAAGTGAAGATGGCATTGAAAACTGAAAACCAAAGACATCAATCTAACTTCCTTCAAATTACGCGCGCTTTTAATTATGTGCCGCTCTCTTTTCCTTTTCCCGCCAAAAATTTGCTGCTCATTCTTCTTTTTCCCGCCAATTTTTTATTGCATAAATCATTAAACTCTTTGTTTCTCGCCAAGTTTAGTCTTGGTTAAATAACTGTTAAATAACTAAAATTTTGACCAAGAATTCTTACTACGGATTACTTTTCAATATTCGTATCACTATAGTCAGCATATTGGTCGAAACATAATTTTGACTACTAATATTTTTAATTATTTATTACTCTATAGTAAAAATTAAAAAAAATAATTAAAATTGAAAATAGTTATTGTACCTAATCCAATGATATACAGGTATTACATAATACAGAGTAACATTTTATTATAATAGTAAAAAAAAAAATTAAAGAGAATATATAAATAGCATATAAATTAAATTAGTGATGCAAATATTTAAAAACGAAGGGAGTGATATGCAAGAAAAATATCAGATATTTAGCGATGCAAATATTTAAAAACGGAGTGAGTAATGTCAGTTATCAGATTATTAATGTGAAATATTAGATGATTAGATTATTAATGCCATATATTAGAATATTATTGTTAAATATTATATTATTATTGTCAAATATATTGAACTCACCCATTGTTTTTTGAAATAATAATGAGTATTAGAAAATCATTACTATTGTACAAAAAGGTACAATAGCACATGGAAAAATAAAGATAATTGAATATTGAAATTGCCTTATATGGATAAATTTGTCCAAAATTTATAATTAAAAAAGGAAAAATTCTAAATGTAAAGATTAAAAAAAAACACTTTAAATAAAAACGTAAAAAAAAAGGAAATAGAGGGACTAATAAAAAAAATAAAAAAATAAATAAAAAAAAAAACAAAGAAAAGTTTATATTTTTTTCAAATTGAAATCTTTAGCTAGTTAAGGGTTAAGAGGACATTGGAATTACTTAAATGATTGAAAAGAAAAATAACAATCACTAGTTCCTTTCAAACTTGACAACCAGGATGATAATCAAGTAGATTGTTTCATTGACTTTGTAATAATATTCCAAATCATTTATCATTTGTTGACTTGTTGTAATCGGCTTTAGTGCTGAGCAACTCATCTTTGTAATATTCTGGCTTCTCCAATGAAAACAAAGACGAATGAATAAAAGAATTGGCGCCATATATTTCTTTTGTTTCAGAATAATTGTATTTCGTAACACTTAAATGCTAACTAATATGAAATATATAGCTTTGAACACTAATATCTATAATTGCATGTTTAAATAATCTAAACAATTAGTATCATGAAAATATACAATTAAACAACTCGATCCAAGGAACAATTATTTAAAGCAACAATAACTAAAAGATAATTAGTTTTAAGAATCTATGAAGATTATGAGCCTAAGATCAACATGGATTTTATATTATAAAGCACTAAGCTACTAGATTAATTTTCTCCTAAATCTGTTGATTTGAACCGTTACATGATAGCACGTAAGCACGTCAATGTCGTATAAAAGATATGGCAACCCATTACTTAATGTGGCATGTAAGTTAATTATGTCAACGCATGTTTACACTACTATATAGTTAACCAAAATTGGCTTTGATTTTCATAAATCTTTATTAAAAAAAAAAAAAAAAAAAAAAACATATCAAAAACAACAAGATCAAATAAGCTAGCTAGCTATGGGGCTCTTGTATGCACCATTGTCTAGGCTCGGTTTAACACTAGTTATTGTACTAATGATTTTAACAACGAGCCAAAATGTTGATTGTAAGAGACACAACTTGTTGAGTGTTGAAGCCGGTGTGGTTATCACTTCCGGTGATCGTCCTAGCCCTCCACCAAAGTCGTCACCTTCCAAAGATCGTCCTAACCCTCCACCAAAGCCATCACCTTCTAATGATCAACCTAACCCTCCACCTAAGCCGTCACCTTCCAATGATCCTCCTATCACCCCTACATCTTCGAGCCCTCCTAGTCCTCTTTCGACTCCTCCAATAATGGAGCTACCGAGTCCTCCTAGTCCTCTTCCGAATCCTCCAATAATAGAGCCATCGAGTCCTCCTTTGCCTATAGACGACATATTTACACCCGTGCCTTCTAGTGACTCTCCCCTCATTACGCCTTCTCCTGAAGCCTATCCTCCTCTTTTGCCACCACCTATTGCACCATCCCCTTCTCCTGTTGCCCTTCCTCCTCTTTCGCCGCCTCAGATTCCTCCTCTTATTGCTCCCTATCCTCCTACAGTTGATTCTCCTCCTCCTCCTCCTCAAGTACCTTCTCAGGCATCTGTTCCTCCTTTATTGTCATCGCCGCCTCCAATGGACGATGCTCATTCTGAAGAACCTTCTAATCCAGCCTTATCACCCCCTTCTCCCACTATTCCTCCTCCACCTCATTCGCCATCAAGACCTTCTTCATCTCCTCCTTCAACAACGCTCTCTCCACCTCCTCTTTCAAAACCTTCTCCGTCTACTCCTTTAAGACCACCTTCCCCTAACTCTTATCCTTCTAACTCTGATGACACTCCTAAATTGCAAGTTGGTTACTATCAAGGGAAATGCTCTAATAAGTCCATGGATGTTGAAGCGCTCATCTTAACTATTGTTGAAGAACATTTCCTAAATGATACTTCTATCCTTCCAGCCCTACTTCGCTTACAATTTCATGACTGTTTTGTCCATGTAAGTATGTATCCTCTTTTTGTTTCAACGTTTATCTATCAAGTTGGGGAAATTCCTTGTTTCTCATGGTGATGAGAAACAAATTTGTTCCACAAAATGACATTTTCGTGAATAAATCAACAACTTTTCATTATTGTGGGCTCCACAATTGAATAAAGTTGTTGGTTTATTTACGAAAATGCCATGTGAGAAACAAAATCTGTTTTCTCACCATGAGAAACTAGGGCATCCTCATCAAGTTGTGGTTAATCTGTTTCAAGATAATGGTTACACTTTGGTTTCTTTGCTAATTCAAAATAGTGGTTTTACTTTCAATTTTCCAGCCTAATGTATAGAATGTTTATCTTGTAAAGGGATGTGATGCTTCAATACTAATAGAAGGAAATACAACTGAAAAGACCGCGATCCCTAATCTCACGGTAAGGGGATATGAACTTATTGATACAATAAAGGTTACTATTGAAGAAGAATGCCCTGGAATTGTCTCTTGTGCAGACATAATAGCAGTAGCTACTAACATCGTAATAAAATTGGTAAGATAGTTCCAAGATTTTCCTACTTAATTCCATACTACTTGATTATTTAGATAACTAAATGTTAATCAATAATACCTTTTTTCTCCTACAAAGGGAGGTGGACCAGAATATTTAGCACAAACAGGAAGAAGAGATGGAACAGTTTCAAAAGCTGAAGATGTTGATCTTCCAAGTCCTGCCTTGACAGTGCAAGAAACTATTGATGTTTTCCAAGCAAAAAATTTCACTGCTGAAGAAATGGTTGTTCTTTTAGGTATTTCACTAAACATATGTACCCTTTCCTATTATAGTGGTGGTTTTATAATATGGTACATTTTTTTTTAATGTTGCTTTGAAATTAGTACAAGATTTGGTTTTCATGCATTAGGTACTTTCTAATGTGGTTCAATTTTTTTTGAAATTATTAGGTGCTCATACTGTTGGAATTGCACATTGTACATCATTTGAAGATCGCCTTTACTCAGGCACTAGCCAGTTTGACCCAACCATGGACCCAACCCTTCGCGAACAATTGTCGGAAACATGCCCCCAGGGACAGTTCTCAAACAACTTCGCTCTCCTAAACCAAAACCCACAACATTCAGGCAACGTTGACAACACTTTCTATGATCAAATCTTGAAACAAAGAGGAATCCTCTCAATTGACCAAGCATTGGCTAATGATCCTTTAACAAAAGCAACTGTTGTACAATTGTCTTTAAATGCCACTTTATTCAATGTTGCACTTGCAAATGCAATGGTGAAACTACAAGCAGTTGACGTCCTTACAGGCAATCAAGGAGAGATTAGAAATGTTTGTAGTAAATTTAATTGAGAGCTAGCGACAAAGCTTGTCTCCTCATTTTTTCCAACACTATAACGTGTTCTTATGTTAATTTTTTTTTTTGAAAGCATTCTTATGTTAATCTAAGATATACCTATATATTAATTCAATTTTTTCCTCACTCATTTATTGTCGTCATCCACAACTTCGCTTTGATTTTCAAATTCTAATGTATCAAACATTTATTTGAAGATTTTGAACCTTATTCAATTCCTAAATGGCAATTTAAGGCTCTTCCCTTCTTCTTCTTTTTTTAATCACCTTCTTCTTCTTCTTTTTATTTATTTATTTATTTATTTATTTTTATTTATTTTTTTTATAAATAAGTCTTCTATATATTTACATAGTTCTTTTTAAAGTGCAACATTAGAACATTTGCATCATTCATAGACACTCATTTGATAAAAGAATTTATATATATACACACTCGAGTGCAAGGTGCAATCTGACATTTGTTTTTTTTATCTTACACTTTGATTATCATGTAGTTTTATGACTTTTATCCAATATATTTGACTTTGATATAATAAGAGCTAAGGGAGGTAGTTGGTGTATTAAAAAATTATAGGATATCGGGAACCATGAGAAAAAATAGATTTAATTCTGAATTGAAATGATATTAATTTTGGGCTTGATTTTAATGATCTAATCTATTTCTAAGCTAGTCAGTAACTCAATTGGCCGGACCTTGAAACCTTAATTTTTCATGATTATTATTTTTGATATATTTTATTTTTAAAACCAACGAGCCTGTTCTATCTAGGAGGGGAAGAAATCCTTAACCAGATTAACTTTCAATTGTGTATGTATGAGTTATAAAACTGTCAAGTGCCAACAATTAAATTATATCATTATAAAATAATAGGCATACAATTGAAATTTAAGTCAATTTAATACTTCTAACATGGAATATACATTATTAAATTATTAATATATTCATTATACTTAAATATTGTATTACTTTTAATACAAAATACATACTTTGTAGAATATGTAATTAAAATTAACTATTAAAATCATTTTTTTTATTTCTTCTTCTCATTGATTGATCTTATCCCTTGAACATGTCAGGTTAATAATAATATGAAAGCAGGGGAAAGTAAGCCTCCTAATATAATCGATTAAATACTGCAATTTCACTATATTTGTTGCGTCCTTATATTAGTTCGAAAAACCTAAAAATTAAACCCTACAATCAACAAATTATTAAAAACAATTAAAATTTGAAATATTAAGCCTAATTTTATTCCAAATTCAATTACATAATGAAAATAGAAAAAAAAAATTTGTGATTGCCTCGATTTTATTTGAATTAATATCTTTTTGCACAAATCATAGTATTTAATGAGTGATTTTTGATGCTATTTTTTTTTTAAAAAAAATTACGAAAGTGATATTTTTAGAGAAAACAAAAAAAAAATGTCAAATATGTTTTTTTACACAAATTCTAAATTTTTATATACCATGTTTTGTCACATTACAAATTTTGGCTGCATGTAAGAGATTTTTATTTGTCATTGTTTATCCTTAACAAAAATCATACTAATTTATGTTATCTATATTTGATAACACATTGTAAAAATGGTCATTAACACACTGTTTATAAATAAGACAAAGTAAAATGGTTTTGAGGAAAGGGATCAAACAATAATTTTTATTAATCATAGAGTTAGATTTTTTATAAGTGTAAAACTTTTAAAGGAAAATTTACATAGTAACAAAGTGTAAGGTATTGCATTGCTAATTTGAAAAGTGAAATGGCAAAAATGCTACTTCAAATATCATAGTTTTTAGTGAAATAAGAACTAGAACAATTGTATTTTTTTTTGTTAAAACATGCTTATAAATAGAGCTTTAGCTAAAAGTTTTAAAACAAAATTTGATTGTTAGTGTTGCCACTTGGAACAAATTAAAGGCTCATGAGAAATCGATCATATCGTATCACTAATAAATAAATTCAATTTCGTTCCCAACCATGCTTTCATAGTTATTTCCCAAGTGTCGTAATATGTAGGCAAAATGAGTATTATTATGACACATATGATGCTGAGTGTAAGAGATATCTCAAGTGGTTAAAGCTTCCCTCCCGGTTTCAGGAGATATTGGGATCGATTCTCACCCCGCCCTTGTGGCTCTCTAAACACCAAAGAAAAATGACCCATATGATGCTAAGTAAGATATTTTCGTATTTGATTTATTTTACTATTTAATAATTCCAGACAAAAAAATACATAATAATTTAATTAAAGTGTTATTGCCTACTACATATGATAATTTCTTGGTTACATAAGAATAAAATCTTTAATGTGAAAAGATATTTATTTTTAAATCCTAAATCATTATTTTTTGGTTTTTAAAAAATAATAAAACATGTATTTATTATTTTTTACATATTTAAATCCTAAATCATTATTCTTTGGTTTTTAAAAAATAAAAAAATTATAAAATAATAAAACCATGTATACTATTTATCTTCAACTTCTTCATCTAATAAAACTTGATAAATAAAACATGTAAGCAAAAATAAAATTTATATAAAATTAATCTTTATAGTCTTATAATAAATTCAATAATTTTTTTTGTGAAATTGATCTTAAAATAGTAATTGTACAAAATCAAATCTATGCATTGGAATTTTTTAATCGTCTCCAATTGTCGCTTCTTATTTGTAACGATTGAAAAGTTACTAATGGAGTAAATTTTTCTTTCAATTGATTTTGGAAGAAATTGTACAAAGTTGGCTTTAATTGAGGCATGAGCGTTAATTTGTTCAATTAAGTTAATTTGATGACTTGAATAAGCTACTTAAATCACAAAAAAAAGTTATTTTAATCATAAAATTTATTGATAAAAACTAAAAAGGTTTATAAAAAATTTAATAAATGTAAGCGATTTATACAGATATAATACCTTATCGTACTTTGATTTTTCAACAATTTTTGCTCGAATTTAATTATTTGATTATGCATATAAAACAAAACAAAATTTAGTGAACAAAATATAAACCTATAATCATTAAGCATTCCAAATAAACACAATGTAAGCAATAATCACAAATATACAAAATATGGATTTTAAAAAATTAAACAAATAATTATGCAGCCACTGATGACCTAAAACTAACACAAAATTATGACACAAAATTCGCTTGATTTGGTTTTGTATTGATATGAAATTTAACTGCTATTGTAGGATGTGCCAATTTACAGTGGTAGGCATCAAATTTTTTAATTTAATTATTATTAAGGAGAAATTTTTATTTCTTATCATAAACACTATATCTAAAGTTGATTGTTTTTTCAAAAGATAATTTTAGTTTTTTTTAAATAAATTGTTTTTTTAAAAGATAATTTTTAGTTTTTTTTAAATAAATTAAATCCTTATAAATCACTATTCTTTATTTTTACCTACGTGGAAAAATTCTTAAATCTCATTCTTCACTTTTGTTTAGGTGAAAATCGAATTTTTTAAATTTAAAATAAAATAGAAATCTAATTTTTAGGTTGTAAAAAATATACCTTTACTTTGGCGCGCCTAATGCTCTTCAAAAATGCCTACTTTATTTATATACATATTAGATAAATTAGATTGTATAAGTCGGTTTTATTTCCATCTTAAATTTTGTTTAAAAAGTTTGTTGTTTAAATAAAATCCATTATTTAATTTATCTAAAAAACTAGAGAATTAGTAAAAATATGCTTTAATCAGTAAAAATATTTTAGTTTGGTAATGTAAAACTACAAAAAAAAATACATTATTATATTAATAAGCAATATGATATAGTATGTCTAAATATTATACATTATTAAAATTGATTATAGGATCGTATTTAACGTCCAAGCCAAAAAAAAAATCTACAATTTGGACATTGTCCGGGCACGAAACTTGTCTTACCTCCGTTTCATATTAGTTGTAACTTTAAAATATTTCATATCTCATAAATAATACCTGAAATTTACAACTAATACGAAACATGGATAGTAATTAATATCCTACGTATATAAAGCTAACTTGCAATGATCCGAAATGAGACGAAGGAGAATTTTTAAATGGCCTGATGGGAAGAGAGAAACCCATTCCACATTGGCCCACGCCCTATCAAGCCTTTTGAAAATGGGCCCACTTTCCCTCTTTGGTCCAAGTAAATTTTTGACCACAATAACCCAAATCAACCAATAGCTCTTTAGGAAGCTTAATAATACTTGTTTTTTTCTTCATTATCAAATGTATATTTTTAAGTGCAACACTAAGGGCCTATTCACATCTACTAAACCGAGCTGAATTGAACTAAATTGAAATGAACTAAATTGATTAGAGCTGAATTGAACTGAGCTGAAATGAATATTTTATGAGAGAGGGAAATTAGGAGCTAAACTAAACTGAACTGATACTGAACTGATAAGAGATGAACTGAAATGAAATTAAGTATATGTGAACAGGTCCTAACTAACTAATTTGGGATGCCATTGATTTTTAAAACTAATTAAGAATGGGCCATTCAAGAGGTTATAAAAACTCTCGTAAAGTCGTAATTAATTAATTATATATTTTCCTATAAATGTTTTGAATTTGAACCTTTTATTTATAGCTTGATGGTATATATGATTCAAGGTTCCTTTACAAGCAAGTAAGTATTTTTGTTTAAGCAAAACGAAGGTCATAAAATGTTGAGATAATTTCTTTGTCGTAGGAGAGAGCATTGTATATCCAAGGAATAATTTTTAATGATAGACTTTGCCATCAGATTAAAAAGATTGTAAGGAAGTTGCCTTGATTAATGAAGGGATTGATTTCCCGTATTATTCTTTACCTAGAAGTAGCATTTTGGCCCGTTTGATGCACGGATAGTTACTTAGGTTAAATTTTACGCAGGTACTTTTTCAATAGTGGAAAATTATGATGTATAATACAAAGTAATTGTTTCATGTCCATTGAGGTAAATGAAGTTTACTGTTATTTTCAAAAAAAAAAAAATCCTGTTAAAACATAGATAAATAGAGAATGAGGATGGAATTGGGGAGAAGATGAAGCAATTAGTTACGTGTATATACACGAATATTGTGGAATATAAAATGAAATATTTATTTAAGTTATATATTAAGTTTAGTAGATAAAAATACTATTTTTTTTATTGTACTATAATATGTGTATTAATGTGTACGAGTACTAATTAGTTCAACTTTATTTTATTACGGTGAAGAACCACGCACCATTTCTCAGTATAGGATAAATTAAAGGAGATCCATAAAGTTTAGTCTTAGTTGGATTAATCTCTCTTTTAGTCTGTGTTATAATGCTCTTAGCTTGTATTTCAGTGCTTCTCTTCTAAATAGTACTGACTTTAGTAGGTGTATCAGGATGCATTACTCCACTC